TGTGGATCCAGCTGTATAGGCACACGCAACCGTCTGATTTGACCTATCTATCTCGGTGTGTAATCGACTGAATGGACTGGTCAGGTGACCTCATCCGGAGGCTTGGGCCTCGGTAAGGGCTCAAAAATATCCGGGAGAATGACAATAAGAAAAGCAAGATAGTGATGCATTGTTGTTTGGCAAGGGGGCGAACGCAACTGGTTAGCATGGCGGACCCATAGTGAAGAGTGTACCTCCACTTCATAGGTAACCTGCCTGGTGCGACGTACAGTCAGATTCTGCGTTCATTTTTCCTCACCATCACGATAATCTTCAGCGAACACAGATTGACCAGCGTGAGAAGTGCGATTCAGGGCACCGTGATGACGGTTGAAATGGTTCATCATGCGGATGTTTCGAGCAATCAGCAGATGTGAGGCTGGAGAGGTAAGCGTAGCTTTCGGTTCATCAAAGTTTCCGCTGCTGGGTATCCATTTGACTTTAACATGTAACTCGGCAAGGTTTTGATAAATTCCAGTTTAGCCCCATCCGCTTTGAGTTCATTTGTAAATTGCTCTGCGATCTAGAGTTGAAGGCAACTGCGTACTTTTGCATAGGGGTGATAGCGGGACATCGAGGAGTCCAAGCTTTTCAATTCAAACAAGCAAGTTTAGATGAGGACAGTCGGTGATATAGCATGTTACTGAAAACAGTAAATCGTGGAAAAGCCATCACAGATTAGTTCTCCAGTCCACAGTAAAGTACTACTGGATGCATTCCGTGCATGATGATTGATGATTGACAATGCCATTTTTCCGATTAACTCCTAGGTGGAACGTGAGATCAGCGTAATATCCGAAGCTATGTTAAGCTGGTGACGGACTGGGATATCATTGACGATAACTGATAAAAACTTGCTTCTAGATTTGAAATTGACTTTGAAGGTTGCAAACACCGAATTCGACTGAGGTGGTTTTCTGTATGGTTGCCTTTTGGACATTTCTCTGGCTGAACTGTGGACACTCTTTTGCATGGTTGATTTCCTGACATCTATGGAACGACAATAACCTTCTTTGTGGCCCAACTGTTGTCACTGCTGTTGTTTCTTGAAAGCACAAAAGCGAGTGTAATGCCATTCGCCACATGACTAACAAGGAGTTGGTGGTTTTTGTTGGGCTGGGCAGTTGTTCGTATCAATGCATAGACGTTGCTTGAAGCTGGTGCTGCGATTCTTGTAACATGGAGGTATCGTGCTGAAGAGAGCAGATTCGGTGATATCCGGTTGGTGTACAAGTTTCGAAAGCAGTCGAGTGCGGACATCCGACTCTGGGGCGAAGGCAGACCAGAAACAAAAACCAGAAATTTAAAATGATTTTTGGTGAGTGTGTACAATTGAAACTTTTCGCACTCACGGTTTTACGATGCCAGCATAAGTGACGTAACCGTCTGCATTACGTTTTGCCAACTTAAGACAACTATATCGGACGTTGAAGATCGACAGCTGATCGCTGAAAATCTTGTGTAGTCGTTTCACGGTGTATATAAAATAAAGATCATTGGGTTGCTTGGGAAGAAGGAAATTAATGAAACGATCATACTCGACGGTATCAACCTTTCGGATTAGGAGTCGGGATTCCCAAGAGTGATCTTTATCCGTAAACGCATTCTCATACGTATCCTTAAGCACTCGTACCATGAATCGAAAGTGAGACAGGATGTAGGCTCGTAGTGAAACTCTAAGATAGAAGCTGCAGTGGCATCGGGTGAGGATACCGAGTTGTTACTTGTTGATGAAACTGTTGGTTGAAAAGAGAGGGACTGAACAAGAGTTTGAATGAGTCGCAATTGAGATTGTTCGAATCGCGTTTGTTGTTGCTGGAGGATTGCTTTCAAATCTTCAGTTGTAAATGACGTAATTGGATCTATTTCAGAATTCGATCGCCAGTGTAATGTTCTTGGTGTTCTTCAGTCAACCACAATGTCAACACACGGAAGGTGAGAAGACGAAAAAGCACTGATGGAAGGAATATCGCCGGGTGGGAAAGTCCAAAGAGATTGAACGTCGTACAATGGAAAGGAAAGAGCGTCACAGTCCAGGAGAGGATCAGTGATGAGCCGAAATGGAGGGAAATGTAGTTGTAGTTAATGAACATAAGTGTTAACAAAGGTAATAATTTTGTTTTGAGGCAGCGCTCCTAACAAGCATTATGTCATCAATAAAGTGTGACATCGTTGTTGAAAAAGGAAGCGTTTAGTTGGAAGTTAAGTTGAGACCATAATCAAACTGCATCACTCCTCGCGATGTCCGTTGATCCTGCAAAAGTCAGGAAGCCGAAATGCACATAGCTGGATGTTAGTCAGAAGCCAGTCCAGCAGCAGGGTCTTAGCTCCGCTACTTATTGTTTCACTAACGCCATCCAAACCATTTTTAGCTGATTCCGTGTCACCAGATAGACGCAGGAAAATAAGGCCCCCTGGGCAGTGCGGAATGTCAACAAAGAACTGAGAACTTGCAATCGGGCTTCGGAAAGACAGAAAACAACTATGGCACTAGACCGGACTATTATCTGATCTGCATGGGTGTACGAAAATTATAACGCGCAAGACGGAACGAGGATCGAGGACGCAAAATCACTGGAGAGCTCCGTGGGCGTCAAGGAAACCGTCGGGGACAAAATAATGGAATAGGCAGTCGACTTGTAAGGAATAACAAGAATGAGCCACAAAAGAAAAAGTGGCGTGCAAATGTGCATGAATAGTAGAAGCAAGAGCAGTTGAAGGCGGCATAGCAAATGGACGAGCAATGATTTTGTCAGTGAGCGTGATGCTACCCGGCTGTACAAGCCGAAGTATAGAGTTCACCTAGGAGAAACACTCCGAGTAATCGTTGGCTAAATCATCATCAAGAGAACTACATCAGCCATATGAACTGATGCTTCGCTGCCATATAACCATAACGAAGTACGGAACGAAAAATAATAAGAGGGAGAGAAGGGCGATTTACCGGAGAATCTTAATGCCTCAAGCAAACATTCACACATACGGCAGAGTGAGGGTCTATGGCAAGCTTTCCTCGCAATTCACTGTCAATAGCGGTGTGCGACAGGGTTGCCCTATGTCCCCATTCCTCTTCAACTTCGCAATCGAAGACGTTCTGTCGAATGCTCTAGAAGGTTTCCAACATTTTGGCTTAGAGCTTCTACCGGGTGAGCGCGCGACCGACTTAGAGTATGCTGATAATATCGCCTTATTTGGTGACGATCCTCAGAGTATGCAACTCATTCTGGATCGTTTGGCGGTTGAAGCATCTAAGTATGGCATGAGCTTCGCTCCATCGAAGTGTAAAATACCGCTCAAGGATTGGCCTACACCTGCTCCCGTACTCACTCTCGAAGGTGTACAACTTGAACAGGTAGATAGTTTCGTCTAGCTTGGGAGCTGTGTTGCTGCTGACGGCACTATCAACAAAGAAGTTTCTCTTCGTATCACTAAAGCCCGATCAGCAGTTACCAATTTGAGGCACTTGTGGCGTCGTCGCGACATCTCATTCTCACCAAAGGTCCGCGTCTACAGCGCATCAATTCGTTCAATATTGTTGTATGGGTACGAGTCCTGGCCGATTCGCGTGGAAGACATGCGTCGTCTTTCTGCGTTCGATAACGGTTGCTTAAGAAGGTTCGCTCGTGTTCGGTGGCAACATCGAGTAAATAGCAATGACGTCCGACGTCGCATCTTGGGGAATGCAAGTATTCCCTACAACAAACTGGTTTTGTTGCGCCAGTTAAGATGGCTCCGTCACGTCCTTCGCATGGCACCTGAGCGTCTACCACGTCGCGCTCTATTCGCTCGTCAAGGACCTATCTGGAGGCGATCGCGTGGTGGTCAGCCTTCCACTTGGCGGCAGCACATGAAATCGCTGACGTCGTGTCTAGCGGCTGTTGGACCTTTACGTCTTCCAAGATGGGGACCCGAAGATGAGGAGTGCCAATGGCTTAGTACTCTTAAAGATATGGCCCGCAACCGGAGTCAGTGGAAGACTTGTGTACAGTATTGTATTGAATCACATAATTAATACTAAAAACATTAAAATGACATAAAAGAACAAAAGCGGCGTGTGAAAAACCAACTAAAAATGTTTTGTTCTACTTTTTACCGAAATGTTCCATTCTTCCTCCGGCATATTAGTTGAAGTGTGTTGCTCACCTTCAACTAGCATGCCACGATGATATTTACGCGTTGAATCTTGCTTATCTG